TATAGGAAGACTCCTAGACAGAGGACTAATTTTGCTAAGATAACTTCTGAGTCCTGTGGAGATGTAAACCAAAGCTGGAGCATGTGGAAAATGTATACTTTTTTTTGGATGTAAAGCTAAATTTATCCAACTTAACGAGCGACATAGCTGTAGAAGGTACCCAATAGAGTTGCTTCTCCAAGTGGAGGCTCATGCTGTGTTACATTAACTGACTGATGACAAAAGAGAATTCAAGTTCAATGACTACTAACATGACAATTTTAGTTCTTCTCAACAATAACTGAAAAGTCATGAAAAATAGCAAACCACTTAGAAGACTCAAATATGAAGAATTACCATGGTTTTTGTTCCAAAATCTAAAGCTGTATTTCAATTTTGATACTCTATAGAAGTATGGGGTGCTAAGACTCAACAAAATCTATGAAATATCATTTAATAAGTTATTGCTCTTACATCAAAGTCACTGTCTGCTCACTTTATGTTTTTAAAAGCTCTATTTTTTTGCAATGATCCAGAAGTTTCTTAGGCTATGTTTGTACATTCTAGGTTTGATATTTGTACAAGTTGTATTTACAACAGAATGCAAGATCTGCCTAAGTAGCAACTTAAAAACTAACTCTTCAGCTTCTGCTATAAAGGCACATAATATATGTGCATTTTCTCTCATATGTCTCTGCACTCAGACAACATATTCATATACAAGTACACATGCAGCCATGCCTGCAGGAAAACAAATGAAAAATTATCAAATTAGATGCCCCCTCATACTAGCCAGGTCATAGTAGTTTATAAATAAATTAGAGCCACAGTGCTCCTTGTTCAGCTGGTTGAAGTTATAACATGTAAATAAGGTTTTACTGAATATCTTGATATTTGCTTGTGATATCTTCCAAGTAAAATAGAGGTAAAGAGAGTATCTTATTTCTCTCCTCCAATTTTCTGTTTCTGTGAGGTCATTAGGCACCTGCTGGGGGAATGTTCATTGTGCTAACACGTAAGTTCTACAGAGCCCTAACTTCACTAGCTACCAGCTTGGACAGCACACATTTAAATGCCCTGAGCTCAACTTTGTTCATGAGTAAACCATGTCAGGATCCCAAACACACTTGGTGGCTGCAAGGCACCTTCTATGGAGAGATTCCCCCCTAGACTGTTGATGAGTACTTGCTCATTAATTGATAAACTTGTCTCAGAAAAGGTCTGGACTTCCTGCCAACCATTACTTTCACAGACTTGCCTGTTTTACAGCTATATAGACAGGTGTTTGAGAATATAAGAAATTAAAACAGGAATAGGAAAGCTTTTTAGTCCATTTTGCTAATTAATATGTCAGAGCTCATAAAGAAGACCTCATCGGCTCTCTCCAGCACTGCATCATCTTAAAGAGCCGGGTCAGCAAAGATCCCTGCAGACAGTCAATACATATTAAAACAGTGCCAAGCAGTAAATCAAAACAAAGAGAAGAAAAAAAAAGAGAAGATACAGTTTTTAAAAAAGCAAAATTTATAATCCCTTTCAGACTGAATCCAGAGGAACATTAAACCATTGGATTAGGTGTCATTCTAGTATCAGAAAAAAAAATGAAAATTTCTTCTCAGGTTTACTTCATGATTCTGAGATTAAGCAAAATTAAACCATAATTAAAAAAAAAATCCACGCTCAATTTAGTATCATTTTCTCGGCATTCTAGTGCTCCCTATAATTAGGTGATTTAAAAAATATTCTCGTTTAAAATACATATTTTTCTGCTCTCTCCTCCCCTCCCCCACTAATTCTAGAATTTAAATTTTATTCAGTCTGCGAGACAGGGGAAGAATTAAAATGCTTTTGGTCTTTTATGGCTCTCTGACACTTCAGATTTTTCTTACAGGAATCAAACTAAAGGCATTTTATTTATAACTTCTCCAGGTGAGCCACCCTGTCCATAGACAGAAATACCCCCAACCCCTACCCCCATCCCCGTGTGGAGAAGAGCCCTGGGAGATTATAACCCAGAGTGGCACATGCTGTCTCCCTCTTCCAGGTAGGGAGATCAATACATCAGCAGGGATGCTCCTGACACAGGTTGCTGGAAGAGTCTCAAGAATCCTGGAATGGTTTCACAAGTGGGGAGGGGAACACTGCATTTTGGGCCAACACTGTTAAAAAGATTTATCTTACCTAGGCCTTTGATGTGAGCTGAGCTCTGAGGAATCAACCATTTAAAGATTAAGCCAAGGAAAGGTGCCAAATGTATTGTCACAAATTTGGGAGGTACCCAAGCCAGACCAACAGATGGAACTTGGCACAAAAGGACTCTCCACATGCTAAGTAGCTGACTCAGAAGAAACTGTAATGCAGATGAATTTATTAAAATGTTGAATATCATCCTGGATAAAAGGATGGATGATAAATTTAGGTCAAAACATACAATTTTATTTGTTTAAGTTCTTGATGGTCTTGAATAGTCAGAGCACTGCACACATTTCTATAATTAAAGAGAAGAGGGATTCTTCTCAGCAATAAAAAAGATTTCATGGTATTTTTTCTTTAACCCAAATATTCTGAAGATGGGGCTCTGAGTAGTAAAAAGGATACTGCAACCAAAAGAGATTGAGTGATCCCTTTTTGACCTGGTGAGATAAGTTTAATCAGTGAACTTTACAAGTTCAAATACAACTGGGTAACTTGATTAGTAGCCACAGACCGCCTCTATCAGATTGAGACTATACTTCTTAGCGGGTGTGTTTAGAATGATTAAGTCAGAATCAAAAGAACCTTCGTGCTCTGACGCCCCCAGTCCCCATCCCCACCAGCAACAAAGCCCAGTGAGAAATTCGTCTACATAAACTTGGACACACACGAGGGAGTTTCATTTCAAGTGAGGGATGAGTTTATGAAGATCATTATAATGCAAGACAAACTTTCCAAGAGAAATAAATGGGATTCATTCTTGGAGCATATCCATTTATAACCTTAGTCATATTTGTCTTTAATGCTGCTCTGTATTTTTTTCACAAATATTTAACAGTATGCTCTCACTTAACATCACTCGAGAGTGTACAATTTTAGGTGATTATTTAGCTCTCTTTATTGCAGGCCACATTTGCTCCAGAGTATCAAGTTTCTGATTGTTATCTCAGCATTTGCATTGCCACCTCAGAAGCCCAATGAAAAAGTAAATGTTTTGATGATAGGATAGAAGTGTAATTAAAAATACAATATTAGTGAATGTTGGGATAATAGTACAGTAATAGCAGAAATTTTTTAAATTTGACATATTAAAATAGTATGGTTCATGGGAAATAAAGACTTAGTACTATTTCTCTCTACCAGCTAAAGTCAAGATACCATGTGGATTTTATAATTAACCTACCTGATAGCTTGTATTGTGATATTTTTGACTTTTTTTTTCTATCTAGAAAGTTATTACTTCAAGTTGTATACTTAGTGTAGTTCTTTATTAATATTTTTGTGATGCTATCTAACAAACCATAGCACCCTTATTTACCAAAAATATTACAGAAATATACTAAGATGACAAGTCTTATTCAAAAGGTGTGTCAATAGCTTTTAATGAGTAGCTAAATTGTTTAGAAATTGACTAAGAGGAGAAGAAGAAATAATTTCCTGGAAAAAGCCAAGAGGCTTATTCTTTTCTCATTTTCAAAAACCAAACTGATAAACTTGCCTGCAAATCACTTCAACTTTTTGCCTTGGAGTCTACCCTAGTCCCTAAAGAGGTGTTCGTTTTCAGGTATTAATGTGTGTAAGAGAAAAATAAGCAGGACTGTGCATTTCAGATGAAAATAATACAGGCTACCCCCAAGGTTCCTTGATCATGAGAACTTCCTTCTCAGGCTCCTAAAAATATTTCCAGTAGTAGTAGAAAATTTAGTGGCACAGGATGATGGGAACAAGCAGCACGTGGCAACTTATCCCTCCCACAGACATCTTTTCTTTCCCTGTGATCTAACCTCTTAGGCTCTTTATTAGGAGGACCAGGGAAAGCCTACTAAGAGTTGTGAACCAGCGCTTCCCTGCTGTTATCACTAGAGAATCTGGAGAAAGGAAGAAAAGAAAAAAAAAATCATAATCTTGCCCTGGAACATGATGGAAGTAATGAGGCATCAAGGCCACTTACTGCTCAAAACCTAATTGGCACATAAACACAGGCAATGCTGGCTGTCGGGAAAGACTCCTTTGTTTCAGAAATGCAGGGATGCCAACAAATCACATTGCTCTCTGGTGTGGAGTGACAAGTGTAAGAGCAAAATGGATGCACACCCCCACCCCCCCCCATGCACACACACAAAGAACACACCCCAAGAGGAAAGAGATTACTGCAATATTTGCTAGCCTAGGAGCTTTAAGTGTTTTCAACTAGCAAGAATAAATGAATATGAAGGAAGGGCAAAGACACAGAAGACAGGCTACTTGGCAATGAAGAAAAGCCTTGACTTCAGATGTAGAGATCCTTCCCATGTGACAGAGAGGGACCTAGGAGACCCTTATGGATCCCTGTGGACTTCCTGAAGAACATTCGTGAGCCTGAAGATGGACCGTGCCTCCATGTCTGCACAAGTCTCTTTGATGACAGGCAGAAAGGTCTTTCTTTGTTGAGGAATTAGAAATGATCACATCTTTCCTACTCAGGAACTCAGTCTTACGGCTTTAATGTACATGTCATCATGGGAAAGAATGTAGAACTTTCTTAGGATTGCTTTACACTTCTGTGCATGTTTTGAGAGTTGGCGTACAGTTTTAAGATTTTTGGTTTCATGAGTATTATTTTGGAAACCTTTATTCTTTGCTCTCAAACATTTTGAGTCAGCATGCATTATGCCACTATACACACAGCCAAGCAATAATTCATCCTTGTAGAAGCCAGAGACATCTCATGTATTAATTAGAAAGCCTTTCAGTGACTAGTGGATAGGAACAGGTTCCAACTGCTACTAAAACACAGCCAGTGATTTCCAGGAAGGGGAATATAAAGTCGGTTACAAGGAATTTCTTACCCGATTTGTGTCCAGCCAATGAATGAACTTTGCTTTCATCTGGCACTGAGGAGAAGAAATAAGAGAGACAGGATCAGACCTACTTGTAAATCAGACATTTTTTGAATAGCAAATTCACATAGATTTATAATAAACTAAATATTTTACTGGCAAAGATTTGGGAAATCTTTTTTCCCATGGTATCCCGGGGTACTTCATTTTTATTGGTAGACATTTTAAAGACCGTTATAAAGAAACATATGTTTATTAGATCTATGTGCTGATGTAATAAGGATTCAAGGATTGGGCTAGTCAAAATGAAATGAAGGGGAACAGATTTATAATTCTCCCTGAAACAATTAAAAAAAACTAGACTAAACAGGAGACAAAGGCTTTCAACAGTTTAGACACCAGGAAACAAAGGATGGTGATTCCCAGGAGATAGAAAACAAGAATTCAAGAGATGAATCCTTTGATAAGGGCCCCAGCTGACTGTCTGGAGAAGGTTTGCAGGAAATGGTGCAGGGAGGGGGGCACACAGGCAGAACCCAGTGATGTCTTTGGCGTAAGGGTGCAGTGCTAGATGTTGGGGGAAGCCAAGGAAGGTGGTGTCCGCAAGGCAGAGAACTAGAGAAGAGGGTATCCTACAGAAGACTTGCTGGTACCTTCAGAGAACTCCCTGAAGGATTTAGCTGAAAACTGGTGATTCAGTGTATGGGAGAAAATTATGCCAGGAACTGGCAAATGACCACCCAAAAGTTCACTTGGCACAGAGAGCAGCGCCTGTTCACAACAGTCAGAGTGGAAGACTTCACAGTTCAGGGGCATCGAGTGCACGGTGAAGAAGGGTCTTGCCTCAACAGAGGGAAAAGTGAGCCCTACATGAATACAGCTCTGATAAGACAGGTCATTTTGGAAGGTACAAATGAACAGCGAAGAAACAGGTGAAATAGTAGAGTAACACTGGCCTCACGAAATGGGTTGGGTTATCCACCTCTAAATTTCCTGTGAGAGTGTCTACAGAATTAATTTTAGTTCTGCCTTAAATGTTTGGTGAAGTTCCCCAGTGAAACCATCTGGGTCTAAATTTTTGCTGATGGGAAAGTTAAGTTTACAAACTCATCTAAAAAACAAAAACTAATGTTACTCTAATATTAATATCAAAAAGACATCCCATGAAAACTACTAACCACTATCTCTCTCAAACATAGATGGAAAGTTGTTAATCCTTAAGAACCTCTGTATGGCTTACCACTTCAACATTCACCATGTGCCCGTTAGTCTATAAACCTCTGGTGCTCAAGGGTTAAAGCACTGTGGGGGGAAATTTGCTAACAAGGAGAACCTCTTCCATTTTCCCTAACACTGCATTGCTCTCACAGTCACATGGTATCCTTCTGTCCACAACATTGCATCACGTTTAATTGACCCAGTTACTATACATACTCTTCCCACTCCCACCTGGCTCTTTTTTCCTAAGCTATTTCCTTATTTTTGAGATAAGAGTGCTACATGCTTATGCTTATTTTGTTTTAAGCTGCTTAAAAAAAAAAAGCTTGTTAGAAGTTGTTTGTATTTCCAGTCAGTAGGTAAGTCAGACAGTATGTATCAGGCATGATGATGAGCCAAATTCTCTCTTTGGCCTAAAATCTTACAATGGGATCTACAGTGTAAGTAGAAAAATATTGAGACCAGTGCTGTGGCGCAGTGCGTTAAGCCACTGCCTGCAATGATGGCATCCTGTGTGGGCATCGATTCCAGTCCTGGCTGCTCCACTTCTGATGCAGCTCCCTGCTAATGGCCTGGGAAAGAAGCAGAAGATGGCCCAGGTCCTCAGGCCGCTGCACCCAGGTAGGAGACTTGGATGAAGTTCCTGGCTCCTGGCTTCAGCCTGGCGCAACTCCGACCACTGTGGCCATTTGGGAAATGAACCAGCAGATAAAGGATCTCTCTCTCTCTCTCCTCCTCTCTCTCTGTAACCTTGCTTTTCAAATAAATAAAATAAATCTTTTCAAAAAATAGAAAATATTGGAAAATGATGGTGATCAAAAATAATAGTAACTAATATTTTTTATTGAGCACAGGTAATATGCAAGTTCTTTCTTATGCACTTTATATCAACTAATTTAATCTTTGCAATTACCTGGAAAATAAGTATTATTATCCTCTTGTTACATATAAAGAACCTGATGTGTTCCCTATAAGTAGAGCAGACAAAGCTTTGTGTGGCAGTCTTAATCAGTCCATCATATTTGAGAGTTATAGTAAGGTTATGTGAGAAAGTCCAATAATTAAATATGAGGAAACAAATACCTATATCCTACAAAATGATTATTTTTGCTTGATTGTATGCTCTTACTAGAAATACCATTGTTATGACCAATGTTAACAAATGTTAGCTATAATTTTGACATGTTCAGAAATCTGGAATTCTAACAGATTCAAACTAAAATACTCACCCACATTTCATAAATTAGAAATAATATTTCTAAATTAGAATCCTAATTGGAATCCTAATTGGAATTGACTACTTTTCTGTGAGTTATTTTAACTTTCTATGTATCAGTCTCATAATATATAAAATGAAAAAATACTGTTTATCCCATAGCTTTGTTGCAAAGAGGACATGTGTGTACTTAGAAAATCATACAGGGGCCGGCACTGTGGCATAGTGGGTAAAGTTACTGACTGCAGTGCCGGCATCCCATATGGGCACCAGTTCAAATCCTGGCTGCTCCACTTCCAATCCAGCTCTCTGGTATGGCCTGGGAAAGCAGTAGAAGATGGCTCAAGTGTTGGGCCCCTGCACCCACGTGGGAGACCAGGAAGAAGGTCATGGCTCCTGAGATCAGATCAGTGTAGCTCTGACCGTTGCAGCCAATTGGGGAGTGACCCAGCGGATGGAAGACCTCTCTCTCTCTGCCTCTCCTTCTCTCTCTGTGTAACTCTGACTTTCAAATAAATAAAAATCAATCTTTTAAAAAAAGTCATAAAATGAGTGCTTGATAAATATCACATATCATATTATCATTATCATCATTAATGAGAAGCTAGGTAGAAAGGAAGAACATGAAAATTAACAATGAGACAAATGTCATTGAATCTCAGCATTGCAAGGCAAGTTACGTTACTAAACCCTTTACTTTAAAAAAAATGTTTATTGAAATTCAGAAAGAGAAAGAGAGAGAGAGAATCTTTTATCTGCTGCTTCACTCCCCAGAGGGCCACAGGTGCTTCTTCAGGTCTCTCAAGTGGATGCAGGGTTCCAAGCACTTGGACCATCTTCTGCTGCTTTCCCAGGCACATTAGCAGGGAACTGGATTGAAAGTGGAGCAGCCGCAACCCAAACCAGCACCCATATGGAATGCTGGCACCATTTTACCTGCTATGCCACAGCGACAGTCCCACTAAACATTTTTTTAACCTGTTTGAACAAATGAAGATAACAAATGAACAAAAACACACTACATAGGGAGTTGTGGAAACCAAATGTAAACATGTACCAAGGCACTTGGACACAGCACTGTATACAGAATCCTCAACAAATGAAAACATTTGAAAAGTTGAAGATATAAATTTGATGCTATTTGCAACGTGTCTGACTTAAGTTGATCCAGATTATGAAGAAACGAAGGAAGGAAATAACCGAAAGCACTCTGCATCACGACTGGTACCTCATGGAGGGTCCACTGGGAAAGATCACCTCTCCATTTCTTGGCTACTGGCTTACCTTGCAAGAGAAGAAGAAAGAAATCATGGTAGGGTCTTACTACATACAGCTATTTTGAAAAATGGATCTTCACAAGGGTCAGGCTTTGACACTGTTTTGTTTTTATCTTTTAAAACATCTAAGTTGATTCAAGTATTGTAAATTCCCTGCTCATTTTAAGTTTAACAAGGGCCTTCTTAACTTTTTGGCTGAATAATGTCTATTATTCCCAGAAGGAATACTTATCATTATTCTAATTGACAATTTTAAATTCTTTAGAACACTAATAAGAGCTATTTTTATAAACAGTGAAGAAAATCCAAATGGGTGATAGGCATAAAAATTAGGAGTCTTTCTCCAAAATATTCACTGACACAGATGACTATCTTTAGGACAGAAGATAAATGAATAAACATAATAGAAGAGAGAGGGAACTGTAATGACTTAATTAATAGAATACATTTTATTTAAAAGGTTAAATTTGGAACAATCATCTTTTATACACATGCTTAGTGCTGGGAAGCAATTTAAATAATAGTAGCAAATGAGAAAATGAGGTGAAATTATACACACTACCAAGTTTCTTTTTTAAGTGGCAAGTGTTATAATTAATACCTAACTTCCTTTATAACTGACATTACCTTAGAGCTACTATTAAAGTTATCTCTTGAGGCTTGAGCTTAAGTCTGGTAGTTTTACTGCATAATATTTAGATGGTACAGTGATTGGAACTGTCGCAATATGAACCATGACAGGTTTGTTATTATAAACAAAGGACTTATTTATAAAAAAAATATGACAATGAGCAGGCCTGGTATGGGAAGGATCTTCCATTCCACAATAGTCAAGTGGCAAAAGCATCAAGCAAAAGAGTGTTGATGGAGCAAGAGTCTAAATGTCTTGCTCTCGTTTTGATGACACATTTTCGTTTCGCTTTAAGTTGTTAGAGCCTATTACATTCCCTTTCTTTTTTCAGTTTTACCCAGAGACTGGTGCTACTTGCTCTTGATTGTCTTTGAGGATATTACTGTAACTGAAAGAATGTCAATGAAACGTTGAGTCCTTCTAAAGATACAAGTCGTGGACATTTTCATTAGAACTGTTGTTCTAACAATAAACATTATTCAATACATAGAGGGGGCACTGTGGTTTTGCTCCTCTTGAGATTTCTGCAGATTTATTTATATAACAGGATTTCTATACTAACCTTATGCATCCTGACATTCAACCCAAGATCGATGGACATTGTTTGATTTAATTACAAGGTACTTAATAAAGAGGACACTTCTTCTCTTGGTTATTAGCTAACTTCCTGGTGTGTCCTCTGATTCAAGAAGACTTGCTTAGCAATTGTAGC